GGAGTAAAAAAATAAAACTTCATCCCAGGGGGCAAGGATCGCTATGGGGAAAATCCTGTCTTTTTCAAGACACTCCTAAACAAAAGGAGCTATTTTTCCCTCCTACCACTACCCTTCTCACTTGATCTTGCTTCTCTTGGGTATTTAACAAACTTCCTGTCAGGACACCTAGACACCTCACTGCCAGGAAAAAATAATCTAAGTTTTCCCACACTGTAAAGTCCCATTAAAGTATAAACTAAGCATTTTCATTAAAAGGCACACATTTTCCCCTCACTGTACTACAACCTCACATACTCCTTTATCCCCGCAACTACACCTTCACTAGCCTCTGATGCCTGTGAGAGAAGCACACGCAAGAAGACAAGCCAGCCACCAGCAGTTTAAAGTACTGATGTAATCTCCCCAGTAGCATTCTGCCCAAGAACATGTAACTTCAGTTTAGCCACTCCTGGGCCAGCACTGATAAGCTAATGTGAAATGGAGCAATCCATTTCCCAATGTAAACAGCTGTTTGGCTACACGGGGAACAGTATAAACAAATGGATCTATTTATAAATCATCATTTATGCTTGTTGTAGAACAGGAATATTATGTTCCAGGGCAGAAGTGACAGTATTTCCAAGAATACAACAAGAATTCAAAGAGCTGGTATCTTCTTCCATCAGCCTGCCCTGCTGACACTCCCTGTTCCAGTTCTGTAGAAGCAATACACACATGATGCAGGGCCTGATCTGTTTAGCAGCAAGATACCCTTGATCCAGCGGGTGGGGAGACAACCTCATTGTCGTACCTATGGGTTCTTCCAACAGCTCAAAAAAAAAGTCAACGGCAACACCACTTCAGCTCAGGGAAGGAAAACCCGAGCCTTACTCCTACTTCTTCCACCCCTGCAACCCAAACGATGCGGCTTCTCCCCGGGCTGCACACTCCGCTTGCACGTTGAGCACGGCTGGGGGTGGCACTCCACAGACCCCTACGCTCATTATTTCCCCCGCCCGAAGAATGGCCACTGCGCTCCAGGCACTGGGCTCCTTCGAGACGTTCGCGCTCCTTTATGGGAGCGCCAAGACAGAGCACACGCGGGCCGAGCCGCCGCTGTCATTCCGCCCCCGCCGCGGCGCTCCGCCGGCAGCCTGCGCCCCGCAGCCGGGCACCGCTCCCGACACGGCCACGGCCCTTCACGTAAAGGGCTCGAGGGTGCCCCGCGCCGCCTCCCGCCGCCCCCGCTCCCGCCGCGCCGGCTGCCCCGCCCCGGGCGCCTTACCGTGACCGGCGGCAGCCCTGCGGCGCTGCCCCCCGCTAGCCCGCGGAGCCGCGGCAGCACGCCGCCGCCCCAACCATGGTCTCCACCCCCCGCGGAGCCGGAGTGTGCGCGGCGGGCGCCGCTCCCGGTCTTTTCTCCGACGGGGGAGGAGGAGGGTGGGGTGAGGGCGGGCGGGGGCGGGCGCGCCCGCGGCGGGCGGGCGCCATTAACGGCCGCGCTCGCGCCGCCGCCCACTTTGAAGCGGCCGCGCCGCGCCAGGCACAGCGGCGCCCCCTGGCGGCGGCGAGAAGCGCCTCCCGGCCGCGACGCGGGGATCCCGGGATTTCCCGCTTGGCAGCGCCGCCGGCCTGGGCGTGCCGAGCCGAGCCGCGCCGCGCCGCGCCGCCGGTCGTACCGTGAGGCTTTTCATCTGCTTGAAGCAATAGCACCTCGGGTTGCCTGAGCCTGACGGGCCAGGCTCAGCAGGTCCGCCAGCGGCAGGGAGAACAACGGGGCTGGTTGAGCCGAGGAGGCGGGGGGTTTGTCCTGCCTGCCAGGGAAGGGAGGGGAAGGCACGGGAACCATGACGGGCACGGCTGTTCTGCGGGAGCTGTCCGAGCTTCCCGGGTGTCGGTGTCAGTGCGGAGCAAGGGCCGGTGCTCCTGCGGCAGGCACGAGGCACGGCAGGAGCCGCACGGAGCGGGGAGGCGAACGGGAGCTGCCTGGCGGATCCATCGGGCA